GATATACTCACCTGTAAAAATCAAAGATTCACATAAGAACTTTAAAAAATGACATATCTTTCTATTAAATCAATATACTTCCGTATTATGAACTGGCACTTATCGCCACCAATGTGACGTATTAGCAAAATTAATGATAATATCTAACGAAACAGGTAATGAATAAGTCAATGCATGATATTGTTTCTAACAAGTTCATGTTGACCTTTGTGTTGCTCAAATTGTACTTGACCTTTTTTTTTATTTGAATAAAGTTGCTGCTTTTTTATGGTTGTTTCAGAAATTTGAATCACATTTTTTTGAGCTTATTGGCATAAACAAAAACATGAAATGTAGGTATCTAATTCGCATATTTTAATTTTTGCCAAAAAAAAATCGAAAAGTATAAATTTTGAATTTAACTCATTAACACTTTGTAATATTCACACCCAAAGTGCCGCCCGGACGAATGACCGGGTTGTCCGCCGATAGAACAGGCCCTTGTTTAAGTTGTTAGTTCAGTAACTGTAAGATCACTTTTCAGTCAGTTTTCAAGAAACCCTGTATTCTGAAACCTAAGAAGGGATGTAGATGTGGAAACGCTACTGCCACTCCCGGAAAATTAACATGTTGTGGCCAAAGGTGTCCATGTTATGTCGACAGTAAACCATGCATAGAATGCAAGTGTAGAGGATGCCGAAACCCTCATAGAATCGATGGACAAAAGGTATATCTGGCGACACAGAAAGAAAAAAACGATACCATTTATTTGTTTTAGGTCATGTCACATTTGCCAGAACTTCAGAAAATTCAAATACTACCGATTACCCAGCCTATGTTGTCAGATCACCAAAATGTTCAAATTGAAGGGCATCAGCTGGAACCAGTAGAAATTGATCCACATTTCAAAGCATTCAAACGTGAGTTTAAAAATCATTTTTATTCTTGGTATTTTTTGTGCTTGATTCATTAAAATGTATCACGAAGTTTATTCAAATTCTTCATTAACAGTTGTTGCTGGATATAACACAATAACGGCAGATCTGTTATCACTGGGATTTAATGAAGACCATCCAGATATAGGCGTCATATGACTAGTAAGTATACATTTGGAAACCTCTGAAATTAACATTTTTCTAGCAGGATATGAAATAATTTTTTTCCTGCAGAATTAAAAATGGAAGTTACGAAGCTACACTTCCAGGAAGCTGGGAACGTACCTGTATAAAGAAGTTTAAAAATATGTGAAACAGGAAAAAAAAGTATATTATTCTGGAAGATGATAATCAGGACCTCTAAATATGTTAAATATGTTTGTTTATTATTGTAATAATATGAGGAATTGGTTCGGAATATAAGTTTTGAATGTGGTCGATAATTGTTCTGGCTGAAATATTAATGGATCAGATTTATCTGCAAAAGGGTGAACATATTTGAAATGTAAGAGAAGGAAAATAAATGCAGTCATTCTGTTGGGCTGTATTTACAAAATAATAGGTGTGAGCATAACAGAAGTATTAAAATGACCAAGACTGAAATATTTCGATGATTGGAGTATCGAACCAATCTGTTTATTGATCTCCAATGATATGGACACAATGAAGAAATCATTATGATCTAATGAAGAAAAGAGAATTGAAACTTTCTATGTTTCTTACCACTTTTATTTGTAACTAAGGTAAGTTACCGCAGTTTCGTCCTATAAGGACATTTTCAAAGTTATACATTAAACTCTGCAGTAACGTTAGTTACAAATGAAAGTGGTGAAAAATATAGAAAGTTTCAATTGTCTTTTTTTCATTGTTTCTAATGGATTTATTCATTCAGTACCTAATAGTTACAAAATGTAATTACCATTGCACAAGGGTATTTAGGCTAAGATCGCTGTAATTAGAGAAAAGTAGGCAAAATTATTGTCCACTTGAATATTATAGATACAATATATATCCTCAATCATCAATATGTAAAGGTGAAACTAGTGGTGGCATAAATCTTACACAAACATAGCTCCCGCACACCAGAACTACACTTGCTTATAAAATTTCACTGCAGACTCCAGATTTTACAAGTCCAGTTCTTACATAATAAATAAATATTTTCGATGAACTGAGAGGCCTATGAATCTCCAGAAAAATCGTCAGAACTCACTTTCTTTGAAGGTGTTTGAAAAGAATGGTTCGNAAATCATTTATTTCAACTTTAAATATACTTGATTCAATCAAACCAGTTCTCAATATATTTTAAAAACTTACTCATGTATCTGATGTATTAATAATTTTCTTTCACAACTGAATTGTACTTAAAAATCATTTTCAACATGATGGAACACCCACATGTTCACTTAATATCTGTAGTCATTTATGGTTTGCATTTTTTTACTTTAACTAAATAAAAAATGAACGAAATTTGTAGTTGTTGTTCTTCATTCTGATTTGCAGATCTTCTTCTTGACCAGATATACAGATTAGAGGTGGTTGAAGGAAGATAGTTGAATATAAGCAACATGTACAGTGTTCCAAAGTCCATAAAATATGGAAGTTTTTTAAGTCAAAAGATTTATTCAAAATTTTGATTCCGCAGTGAATTTGTCATTGAGAAATGAGTAAAAAACATCCTCCTTCCTTTTGTCATGTGCTACTCTAAACCTGTCAAATCTGACACTTTTTTCGAAAATCCTCAAAAATCTGTGTTTTCGACTTTCTACCGTCTATAAGGTTATGTAAAAAGCTCCCAAGGTGTCGCTACGCATAGAAACAATATTGTTTTTACATAAAAATAAATATAATAGTTACTCCAGTGTGCATTAGATAGATAGATCTTCATTTGACTACGATATTTTACATTTGTAGCAGGTCCTTCTCAACATGTTCAGTAAGTACCTACTGGTACTTATGCTTAGATTACTTTCACAGATTTAGTATAAAGTTTGTAAAATCAGTTAACGTTCTCAAGTTTTACAATTCCCAATTTAAAACTCACAAATATAAAATTCACAGTACAAAATTCACATTTAAATTCTTAATTTAAAGTTCACAATTAATATCAACACTCAGTCCCATCAATGAATGGGACTGAGTACTCCTGTCAATAGCATAGGGTGTGTAGATATATATAT